ACAACAAATAGCTGAGAAAGCTAATAAACATCAATTAATCAAATCAATCAATCTCTGTCTCTCTCTGTCTCTCTCTCTCTCTGTCTCTCTCTGTCTCTCTCTGTCTCTCTCTGTCTCTCTGTCTCAACACGGAGTGTTCGCTTCCCGGTGACAGTACCTCAAATTACGTTAAGAATGAACATCCTGAATGCATTCAGGATGATCTGTCCTCCTGTACATGAAATAAAGGAGTAAACGGTACATCTACTCAGAGTCATCCAGATGTTCCTTCTGTGAACGCTGCATAGCAACCCTGATGTATCTCTGTTGTTGCCGTGCAGAGTGATTGTACGACAATTTTCTTAATGAATTCTGATCTTTTGATTTTCCAGTTATTCCCTGTGCTCGTTGGATTTCATTCTTGTTCCTTGCCTTCCTCCACGTTGCTTACAAAGAAAAAAGACGCCTTGACACCGCGATAATTGCAAATCACAGCATCCGGGCGCCTGGTGCCTCGCAGTACGTAGTAGAGATTAAACTTATTAAAGAACAAAAAAAAAGAAAAGGGAGCCGTACAGAGGTGCGTGTCTTTCGGGATGTTTTTTGAGGTTAAGGGCGACGATCAAAGGAGTGTCTTCAGTTTTCTTCCTCCTCCTTCTCTTCCTCCTGCTCATCATCCTCCTCACCGGTTCTTTCAGGCTTCTCTTCGACCTTATTCGGCCGTCCACGGCCACGACCCGTGGAAGGTGCCGTACCCTTTGGTGGTCCTTGCTGTTTTTAAGAACGATAAATATGGTGAAATTTTATTGTCATGTAGACGACGGGGACAGCAGGTATTCAATTCACTTTAATGTATGTGAATTCCCAACCTCTCTATACTGAAACAGGTGGCGCGTCGTCCTCATTATCAGACTTTATTGGACGGGACACATTATTCTTCTCAGAGGATGCTCTTCCACGTTTCTTAGATTCCTTCACAGCACCCCTATCGGCCTTGGCTGGTCGTCTTCGCTTATTCTTCTGGTCTTCGACCACATGCGAACCGTCGTCCGACATATTAGATGGTTAAACTAAAGTGAGAATTCCATTGAAAAAAAAAGAGAAAACAGTTCTTATCAAATTGACAAACGTTATGTTACTTAACAGTGAAGAGCTTTCTGTCGATTTTTTTTTATTTTTCCGCCTGTGCGCGGACATATTTGATTATATAAAAATGGCGCGGCTTTTTGCCATTCTTCAAATACTTTTGACTCTCTCGTTCTTCATTTATTGCAAACACTGCGATGTATGCAAAATCGATGTGTATACTGACCGTATTAAATGATATGTACAGCCGGCCCTAGACGAACGTTCTGATAATCGAAAATCGATATTCTCTAATGGAGCGAACTTAACAGATCATCACAGTGTAACAATTGTTTTCGCATTATCCGATAGTATACACGGTTATAAACATTCTCTCCAATTTTTATGTCGAAATTCGAATTATTTCAGTCGCTACAGCTTTTCCTAAAAAAAAAGAGATTGGAGGGTAAGGCCTAGCACGGACGCCACGCACGGTACCCCGGCCCCGTTATTCCTTTTGTCCTGTTCCTATTTGCATGTGCACGTTTTTACCTGCGGTGATTCAGTTCTACAACTTCGCTAAATTGCTGCCAAAAACAATCAATTCGAGGAAACAGAAGGAATATTGTATGGACCTGGCATCGCCGATTGATCGTAAGTAGACGATTTATCTGAAAATCCCGCACTCCGAACTTTAAACGCGTTTTTCTCGGAATGGTGTTTTTCAAAACGGTGGCCACTCTCAAAGAAAAAATTTTTAAGCTATCCATTTTAAATTTTAACAGAACATTCTTCACGTCTTTTCTTATATTGCTATGGAAGCTTTTTTTTTGAAATCTTCCTATTTTGTTTTACGAAAAACTGTCGAAAAAAAGGCTAAATTTTATACGTTTTGTTCAAACCGACTCCATTTTTTCAAATTTCACTAACAACAAGAAAGCCTCCATAGGAGCATAGCGGTTTTCCTACAGATTTATAGACCATTTGAAATTTTTGTTTGAGGTAAAATTTGCTCCCGCAATCCTGGCCACCATGGGATGTTACGTCCGACGCAACGCAACCCCATTGCCCCCCCCCCCCCTTCAGCACCCCTCAGTACCCCATTAGCAAAGGTCAGAGACCACGACAGATGTAACCGATCC